TTAATCCTGAAATTGGGTATTAAAATTACTGTTGAAGTGTAAGATTTGGGCCTATGGGTATAGTGTTGGAAATATATACTAAATTTGGATACAATTTGAATTTTGTGTGAACCGATAGGACTGAAATTATTTATTGGGAAATAAGTCTTATATTGGATTGTATGATGTAGGTAGTAATGGAAATTTGTACTTATAGGTACTAAATTTTTTACAATGTTGATTTGAGTGAGCAGATCGAGCTGGAATCCTAATATTTGGAAATGGAATTACATTGGATTGTATGATGTAGGTAGTAATAGAAATATGTACTTATGTGCACTAAATATGATGCAATATTGATTTAGGTGATCCGGGGTATGGACTCAGTTCTGGAAATATGTTCTTATAGGTACTAAATGGTACCAAATTTGTATTTGGATAAATCGATTGAGCTGAAATCCTGAAATTGGGTAATATGATTTATATTGGATTGTGAACACATTTGGAAATTTATTATTATATTTGCACTAAATATGGTAAAATTTGGATTTAGGTTTTGGAAATAAAAATAGTGTACAAAAGGTAAAAAATGGTACAAAATTTAGTATAGAGCTATATTTTTGTTGCGGTCAGAATTGGTGTGTTAAGATATGGGGGTAGTATTGAATATGTACCTTAAGATAACCGAGGTTCTAAACGGGTACTCAAATTTTAATTATGGTCGATACTGGAGTGTATGTTTATTAGCTCTTCTGACATATGCACTTTAAGTCTTCAAATGCTTATACACAATGTTACAAATATCCTTGGACCAAATTCGTTCCAAACAATTTGGTGTCGCTTACAAATGTCCGTCCGCCAGTTGCGCAAAGTGTGTACACGATTTCGTACAAACTGTACGCATCATAATTCATGCGAATGGGCTATCCGATTTGAATCAAACTTAGTAAAACCCATTGGTTCACTCCTGCAGGTACCTCCCCACAAATGGTCAACATTATTAATATCTATAAATCTAATATCCGGCCGATTGGAATGTCCGATTTGAACCAACAACTTTTTATATTCTTATATATTCTACTCCTTCTGATACCTTCCAAACAAAGTTTAAACCATTTTAATATTTATAAATCCAATATCAGGCGAATGCAATGTCGAATTTCAACCAAACTTTGCACAACCTATTAGCTTGATCAAGTCCGAAGCTATGGCCCGTTGGCTCTCTCCTTTTATAAAGCGAATATTAATATCTGCGTGTAATTCCGAAGACCTCCGTAGCCGATATTCTGAGGGAATATATGTGTCGGCAACACCGACTGAGACTTTTTAACATGTTTTGGAAACTATGGAAAGTTACCTTACGAATAATATGCATTGAACTGGGCCTATACATCCATGTTTTGATCTCCAATCAAAAGTTGCCATCTATTTTTTGAAAATGTTGCTAAAATACAAAACAATCGGGGGTTACGTTATATGTGATCTAAGAAAATAAGCGATCGGTATCCTTGAAAGTTAACGTGCTTACAACAGAAGGACAACTTTATCTAACCATTTTTTATAATTTTATTTTTTAGATGTTGGCACTCCCAGTTTACGGATTTTATGTTGAGATTTTAGCAAGGTCCAGATGTAGGATGCCCCTTATGCTTCAAGTCTACTTTGTATCAGTATCAGAGGAGGTGCTCAACTCCATACATATATTTATATATCACAGTTATCATTTGCATTCCATCTGAGGTTTCTTTGAAGAGTATCTATTTTGTCGTTTCTGAGAAATTTCGCATGAAAGACCCAACATAGGAAGTTCCTGTGTGTATCCATGCACCAACTGTGGCACAGAGTATTATGTCTTTGTGCATATGTTTGTAACAGGCAAAAGGAAACGAGATAGACGCATTGTTCCTTTTGATAATATGCATAGAATCACTTTCTGAGCCGATATATGCATGTCCGTCCGTCCATGTATTTTTGTGAGCAAAGTACAGGTCGCCCTGATTGAAGTATGCCAAATTTTGTTGCAATCGGCTTAGATTTAGATAAAGCTCCCATATATAGTTTCGTCCGATTTTAAGTAAATGATGCAACAAACTCCCAATATTGGTCCGATTGAGACAAAATTCTGCACAGAGTACTTAATTAGGTCTGAGCTGATGTAGGCGAAGTTTCGTTGAAATCGGTTCAGATTTAGATATAGGTCCCATCCGATTTTATGTGAATAATGCACCAAACTCCCAATATTTGTATGATTGAGACAACATTTTTGGCAGAGTACTGAATTAGGTCTAGGCTGATGTATGCAAAGTTTTGTTGAAATCGGTAGAGATATATATAGCTCCCACATACATAATTTTGCTCGATTCAAAGAATCCAAGTCTACCCGTTTCACATGCAATTTTTCATACATTTTAGAATGGTGTGTGTATGGGTTTTTTCTAATTGGTTCAAATATCTATGTAGATCACAAATTTAATTTCGTCAGTCTATAGGATATTGTACATTTCTATATATACAGGATATTGTACCAATGAGCATCTCTTGTATGTACCCAAACTAGTGAAGGGCTACGCCCGACTTTTGAACTTTACTGATATTTTTTGTTGGTAATAGTTTCGATTAGCTGCTCACAAATATTCCAAAATAATGAGGAGAGTGTTGATTTCAACTGTGTTATAGGTCTTAGTTTTTCATCCGGCCAACGAACATCGATATGTCTATATTTTTTTATGAAAATAACCAAAAAGCTGGTCGTTGATTATTGTAAAGGAATTAACGTTATTAAAAACGCCTTCAGATCCTATTATACCCTTCACCACACTGTGGTACAGGGTATTATGTCTTTGTGCATATGTTTGTAACAGGCAAAAGGAAACAAGATAGACACATGGTTCCTTTTGAGAATATGCATAGAATCAGTTTTTAAATCGATTTATGCATGTCCGTCCGTCTGTCCGTCTGTCCATGTTAAATTGTAAACAAAGTACAGGTCGCATTTATGATCCGATTTGGATGAAATTTGGCACAGCTCATTTGTTTGGCCCAAGGACGAACCCTATTGAAATTGGGAAAAATCGGTTCAGATTTAGATATAGCTCCCATATATATTTTATTTATTTATTTATTTCAGTCTATGGAAGTATAAATCCTTACAGACTAGATTATTATGAGATAAAGTGTAAATCTAATAATTCTTTAAATTTATCTAAAGTATAAGTAAAATCCAAACTTAATTCTATATTTATTAAATTGAATTGGTTAAGCATTTTTGCCCGATTTACGGACTTTAGACCCTGAAAATCTTTCGATTTGCACGAAATTTGGCATAGCGTACTGAATTGAGCCACGAAAGATGTGTGCCAAGTTTCGTGAAAATCGGTTCAGATTTATATATAGCTCCCATATATAGTTTCTCCCGATTTACGGACTTTAGACCCTGAAAATCTTTCGATTTGCACGAAATTTGGCATAGCGTACTGAATTGAGCCACGAAAGATGTGTGCCAAGTTTCGTGAAAATCGCTTTAGATTTAGATATAGCTCCCATATATAGTTTCGGCCGATTTTTGGTAAATGGCGTACCAAAGTCCCTATATATATCTTTCGATTTGCACGAAATTTGGCATAGCGCACTGAATTAAGTCTAGAATGATGTGTGCAAAGTTTCGTGAAAATCGGTTCAGATTTAGATATAGCTCCCGTATATATCTTCCTCCAATTTAAGGTAAATGGTGTACCAAAGTCCTTATATATCTTTCGATTTGCATGAAATTTGGCATAACGTACTGAATTGAGGCTAGAATGATGTCTGCCCAGTTTCGCGAAAATCGGTCCAGATTTAGATATAGCTCCCATATATAGTTTCGTCCGATTTCATGTTAATGGTGCCCCAAAGTCCCTATATATCTTTCGATTTGCAGGAAATTTGGCATAACGTACTGAATTGAGCATAGAATGATGTCTGCCCAGTTTCGAGAAAATCGGCCCAGATTCAGATATAGTTTCGTCCGATTTCATGTAAATGGTGCACCAAAGTCCCTATATATCCTTCGATATATTTGGATAGAGCTTCCATATATATTTTCGCCCGATTTTAAGTAAATTGGACATCAAACTCTTCATGCTAGTCAGGTTGACATCAAATTTTGCACAACGTACAAAATTGAGCATAGAATTATGTAGTTGCGTTTTCTAGAAGTACAGACATAGCCCAACAGATAACCTATTTATATTTGATTGAAGTCGATTTATATAACTTATGGATATATAGCTAGATTCACATTTAGATAAATATCACATATTTTATTTCATCCAATTTCATGTTAATAGTCCTGTTTAATATATCCATAGTGGTGAAGGGTATCATATAGTCGGTCCCGTCCGACTTTATTTGGAAATAATTTTATTTCGCGCATAAAAAAAACTTATTATGGAAAAATTTCACTGAAAAATAACTTCTATATTAATTAATTCTAAAATAATCAGAAAAGTTTGTCGGACCAAAAACAAATCAATTAAATTTAGCTTTATATTATTAATTGTTTTATTTCATAGACAACATTTCATTATGTTAGACATTCTTCATATAAATAATAAATAAATTTAAACATTGCCTTTATTTACCAAACAAATATTTAATGCTTTATCAATTCATCATTTGAATGGAGCAATTTTGAAATATAAATTCAAACAATGTTTCATTTCGGAAATTCAACAATGGTTTAATAAAAATATTAGCTTGTGTACGAATTAAATACAGTACAGCCTTTGTGCCTATTATATTGCAATTTAAAAAAAATCCCAACTTTCTTTATTTTCAATTAATTGTTTTACAATATTGTGGCGGAATAAAAGAAAATATTCTTTTCAATGCCAAAACAATACAATTTTGTAAATGAAAAAAATCGTCTATAAAAATGTCTCTAGATATGCAATAATAATGTCAGTTTCTTGCATTAACTCCTACAGTAAAGGATAGCTTTTCCTAGCACATCGTTGAGAATTATCTATTTCATAAATTCGAAAATGGCTACGGCATTGAAAATTGTTGCGGTGATATTGCCACTTATTTGTGGCGTGAGCTATACAAAAGGTAAATAGAAAGTTAAAAAATTGGACCTTATTTGATATTAAAAAATATCAGCTGTGTTAGTGTAAAGCGTTAGTGAATGCATCAAATTTGAGTTTTATTAAAAAATCGCAAAAAATGTCCTTAAATTTTATTGATTTGTTCACCATTCACCATATAAATCAAAAATCTTGCTCATTTTTTTAAATACTTTTTTCTTATTTTTAGCTGCAAGTGAATGGTCCTACAAAGATGTCATGACATGGGGGAACAAGTTTCCTAAATGCAATGGTCAACAACAATCACCAATACATCTTCAAACTTCAAAGGTGAGTGCAATAGCTTAATCATAAAATTGTTAATTTTGCCCCCAATGTTCTAAATGGTACTAATTTTGTACATGTTGAATTTTGGGTGAGCCAATAGAGGTGGAATCCTGAAATTGTGAGTTGTGTTAATTGTTAATTTCGGTAGTGAGTTCATATATTTTTGATTAATTGCTGATTGGTCTGCGGATAAGCCAGTCATATGTAATAAGCCAGTCATCTATCGGTGTCTAGAAACAACACATGCTTTAATTTGCTGCAGTGGTTGGGGTCCTTGATAATTTTAGTGTAGTCATTTGTATCTGGGTGGCGCTATTTCTTACCAAAATCAATATACTCATCACTTAATAGTGTATGTAACATTGGGGCAATACCTGACCTCTCCGAAAAACAAATATATTTAAATTCCACGCCTTAGTCCGCCATTGAGAAAATATTCTTTGAAAATCAACGTAGTGTATTTTATTCCTGCTAATTCTCTTGGGAGCATATGGCTTTCACGAAGCATAGGCATCACACTCGATTAGTCCTTGTGTTAGTTTCATTATTTTTTTTTTTATTAATTGATGGTCTGCTGTAGTGTGTAATGGGCGAGCCATCTATCGTTGTGAAAAACAGCGTGTTTGGTGTCTTTGCTTATTTTAGTGTAATCATTTTTCCACTGGGTGGAAAATTAATATTCCTACCACTTAATATATACTATTAAGTGCAACATGGGCACCATACATGATCTCTCCGAAATAGAATTATGCATAAAGTCCTCGCTTTCAAAAGCCATTGAAAAAGTATCCTGTTGCCTCCACAAAGCATTGTCACCATTTCAAAGTTTTATTCCAGCTAAGTAGATTATTTGTTAGCTGTAGTTTGTCTTAGGTGATGGTGATAGGACTGTCATCTATCGTCGCCTAGAAACAACGCCTCCTTGAATTTTGCGCAGTGGTTGGAGGGTCTTGCTTATTTTAGTGTCGTAGTTTTCCCATTGGGTAGAAAATTAATATACTCACCTCTTTATAGAATATACAACATTTGCACCATTCAAGATCTCCCTAAAATGTCCTCGCTTTCAATAGCCATTAAAAATATTGTTTACTCCTTCACAAAGATTGCATCTCTCGCGATTTGCCCTTGAGTTAGTTTCGTTATCATTTCGTAGTTTTTTTCCAAATAAGTAGGTGATTGGTCTCCTATAGCCAGTCGTAGGTGATTGTGATGGCTGGCATCTATCGTTGCCTTGAAACAATGCCTCATTGAATTTTGTGCAATGGTTGGGGTCCTTGCTTATTTTAGTATCGTAATTTTTCACTGGGTGTAAAATTAATGTACGCACCCCTTTATTGTATATGTAACTTGGGCACCATACTAGATCTCTCCACTTAAAAACATTCTGCCACTCCTCCAGACTGTATTGTCATCTTACTCGAAACGTTATCATCTCATATTTTTTTTTTATTCCAGCAAAGTAGAATAAGGCTACATGTGACCTTGTCTTAAGTAATTGGACTGCCATCTATCGTTGCCTAGTTACAACGACTCCTTGAATTTTCTACCATGGTTGGGATCCTTGATTATTTTAATGTCATCAGTCTAGATGGCACTATATTCTGACATTTCTATATTGTTTTACCCTCATGTGCCGATGCTGAGGTTGGTTTTTAGAACGTCAGTAGGCTTCGGAACCTGTTAAAAAAAATTCGAAAACTACTTAAAATGAATTTTTACATGTTTAGACGTAGCCCCATATAAGGTGATGGATGTCATCTATCGTTGCCTAGAAATAACGCCTCCTTGAATTTTGTGCAGTGGTTGGGATACTTGCTTATTTTAGTGCCGTAATTTTTCCTCTACATGGCGCTATACCCTGTCATTTCCATGTTGCTTTAACCTTATGTTTTGATGCTGAGATTGGTTCTTAGAATGTCAGTAGGCTTCGGAAGGGAGATGTAGGACTCTTAAAATATTCGGAAACCACTTTTAACGAATTTATGCATGTTTACCAATAGCCTACATATAAGGTAATGGGTGCCATCTAACGTTGTCTAGAAACAACGCCTTCTTAAATGTTGTACAGTGATTGGGATCCATGGTTATTTTAGTGTCGTAATTTTTCCTCTAGATGGCGCTATACCCTGACATTTCTATGTTGTTCTAACGTCTGGTATTGATGCTGAGGTTGGTTCTTAGAATTTCAGTAGGTTTCGTACACATCATTTGGAGGGATATGTAGGACTCTTCAAATATTCGAAAACCACTTTCAAAGAATTTATCCATCTCAAGACATAGCTTCCATATAAGGTGATGGGTAGCATCTATCGCAACAACGTCTCCTTGAATTTAGTGCAGCGGTGGGATCCTTCATTATTTTAATGCCTCCTTTTTCCTGTAGATGGCGTTATATCCTAACATTTCTTTGTTGTTTTATCGCCAGTTGTTGATACTGATGTTGGTTCTTAGAATGTTATTATGCTCCGGACACATCATCTATCGATATATGTCCATATATTGAAATGGTCATTTTGGGATTCTGGATGGTATAAAAATCTTTGCAGAAATTTTTCAATACAGATCCACGTGTTGCCATTTTGAGTATGTTCATGGTCGTAGACGCCTCTTCAAAGCAATATTGCTGTAAATAGCATTTTGCGTTTTCAAAAGACAAAAATCATTTTTCATCGAAGGTTTTTATTAAGGGACAAGAAGGAACGCCGGCCTAGTTTAATTTTCCAGCTAATGTGGTTGAAATTTGGCATTCCGGGCATATTCAAACAGAGACCTATGTTTGACATAGGCGTCCTATATAAAAGTTCTGCCTCATTATTAATGATCCAAGCCATATGACTATATTTTGCTACCTATCATAATATAGCCATTCGGAATTTTTGATCTTCAATCGTCAATGAAAATAACCTGTTGACAGATTATTTTCAATATAGGTCCATGTTTAGGCAAAGACTCCGTACTTCAAGTACCGAGAACCATATTTCGTCATAATTCCATATATATGTGCCGACCGATTTTAGATAGTTTGAATGCCTATCTCATGGTGGAGGTTATAAATAGTTCCGTCCTATAAAAATTCACGGCCTTTTCCCTGTTCTTACTACTATGCATTTTAATTTCATATCCCCACAATCTTTCAAGGTTATTTCCAGGAAATTAGCACCCAATATACCCACCAATATCATAACTTTTTATTACCATGTTTACACAACGAAACAGACTCAAGTTCAATCCCATTCAAAAGTAATTTCAAACTTTTTTATTAAAATACATCAACTTCTTTATATCTCCATATTTTTTTGCAGTCATATTTCCCCTCATTGCCACCCATTACATTCCACAACTACAATGTTCCGCTGGCGGGAAATTTGGTCATGAAAAATAATGGTCATTCAAGTGAGTAGAAAAAACCCAAATTATTTCCTAAAACTGTTCTGGTTTTAATACAAAAAAAATTTTGATTCCTCTTTGGTGTTTAGTTGAAATGGAAATTCCGCCAACAACAAATGGGGCCAGACCCAGTATTAGCGGTGGAAAGTTGCCGGGTGTATTTGAAGCCATGGGTTGTCATTTCCATTGGGGTAGTAGGACAAGCAAGGGCGCTGAACATGTTATCAATGGACAACGTTACGATGCTGAGTTGCATATTGTCCACAAAAATGTGAAATATCCAACAATTGCCCAGGCAGCAGCATATCCCGATGGGTTGGCTGTATTGGGTATTATGTTGAATATTGCAAGGGTAAGTTTTTTACAAACAATTATTTATTTCATTGAATTTTTTTAACTAATTAATTTATATTTTTTTCCTGTATAGCGTGTCTATCGCGTCTATCCCGGCCTTAATGATATGATGAACCGAGTACCCAATGTCGCCAGATACCAATCAACCACTCCTGTGGGCACACAAATGACTTTGTCAATGCTATTGGGTGATATCAACACAAATCAATATTATACCTATGAGGGTTCTCTGACCACACCCGATTGTTCGGAGGCTGTAACATGGACTGTATTCCCTCAACCTTTGTACGTTCCCGCTGAACAAATGCAGAAATTCTGGTCAACTCGTGACAACACAGGAGCTCCGTTGATTAACAATTACAGACCCGTACAGTCCAACAATAATCGTTTGGTATTTTATCGCGGTTGATAACTAGCACTTAAAATGTTTCTTTCTTTATTTTGTTATTAATAAAAAATTTTAATATTCAAGCTTAATATTTAAAAGGGTCACACATAACTTTAACAAAGTTAAAAAATACTGCGATTGAAAAAATCTAAGACTTGAGCAAGGCTTGAAAAAATCAAAGACTTAAGCATGGCATGAAAAAATCTAAGACTTGAGCATGGCTTGAAAAAATCTAAGACTTAAGCATAACTTGAAAAAATCTAAGACTTGAGCATGGCTTGAAAAAATCTAAGACTTAAGCAGGGCTTGAAAAAATCTAAGACTTGAGCATGCCTTAAGAAATCTAAGGCTTGAGCATGGCTTGACAAAATCTAAGACTTAAGCATGGCCTGAAAAAATCTAAGACTTAAGCATGGCTTGAAAAAATCTAAGGCTTGAGCATGGCTTGAAAAAATCTAAGACTTAAGCATGGCTTAAAAAATCTTAGACTTGAGCATGGCTTTAAAAAATCTAAGACTTGAGCATGGCTTGAAAAAATCTAAGACTTGAGCAAGGCAAGAAAAAATGTAAGACTTGAGCCTCGCTCGAAAAAATCTAAGACTTGAGCATGGCTTGAAAAAATCTTTGACTTGATCATGGCTTGAAAACCTCTAAGACTTGAGCATGGCTTGAAAAAATCAAAGACTTGATCATGGCTTTAAAAAATCTAAGACTTGAGCATGGCTTGAAAAAATCTAAGACTTGAGCATGGCTTGAAAATATCTAAGACTTGAGCATGGCTTGAAAATATCTAAGACTTGAGCATGGCTTGAAAATATCTAAGACTTGAGCATGGCTTGAAACAATGTAAGACTTGAGCCTCGCTCGAAAAAAATCTAAGACTTGAGCACGGCTTGAAAAAATCTAAGACTCGAGCATGGCTTTAAAAATTCTAAGACTTGAGCATGGCTTGAAAAAATCTAAGACTTGAGCATGGCTTGAAAAAATCTTTGACTTCATCATGGCTTGAAAAATTCTAAGACTTGAGCATGGCTTGAAAAACTCTAAGACTTGAGCATGGTTTGAATAAATATAAGACTTGAGCATGGTTTGAAAAAATCTAAGACTTGAGCATGGCTTGAAAAAATATATGACTTGATCATGGCTTGAAAAAATCTAAGACTTATGTAAGGCTTGAAAAAATCTAAGACTTAAGCATGACTTGAAAAAAATCTAAGACTTGAGCATGTCTTTACAAAATCTAAGACTTGAGCATGGCTTGAAAAAATAAACGACTTGATCATGGCTTGAAAACATCTAAGACCTGATCATGGCTTGAAAAAATCTAAGACTTGATCATGGCTTGAAAACATCTAAGACCTGATCATGGCTTGAAAAAATCTAAGACTTGGCTTGAAAAAATCAAAGACTTGGGCATGGCTTGAAAAAAACAAAGACTTGATCGTGGCTTGAAAAAAAATCTAAGACCTGATCATGGCTTGAAAAAATATAAGGCTTGAGCTTGGTTTGAAAAAATCTAAGACTTGAGCATAGCTTGAAAAAAATCTAAGACTTGAGCATAGCTTGAAAAAAATCTAAGACTTGATGATGGCTTGAAAAAATCTAAGACTTAAGCATGGCTTGAACAAATCTAAGACTTGAGCATGGCTGGAAAAAATCTAAGACTTATGTAAGTCTTGAAAAAATCTAAGACTTGAGCATGGCTTTAAAAAATCTATGACTTGAGCATGGCTTGAAAGACTTGAGCATGGCTTGAAAAAATCTAAGACTTAAGCTTAGCATGAAAAAATCTAAGACTTGAGCATGGCTTGAAAAAATCTAAGACTCGAGCATGGCTTGAAAAAATCTAAGACTTGATCATGGCTTGAAAAAATTTAAGACTTATGTAAGGCTTGAAAAAATCTAAGACTTAAGCATGGCTTGAAAAAATCTAAGACTTGAGCATGGCTTGAAAAATCTAAGACTTGAGCAAGGCTTGAAAAAATCTAAGACTTTAGCATGGTTTGAAAAAGTCTAAGATTTGATGGCTTGAAAAAATATTCTTTAAAAAATCTACGCCTTGTCGATGGCTTGAAAAAATCTAAGACTTGAGCATGGTTTGAAAAAGTCTAAGATTTGATGGCTTGAAAAAATATTCTTTAAAAAATCTACGCCTTGTCGATGGCTTGAAAAAATATTCTTTAAAATATCTATGCCTTGTTGATGGCTTGAAAAAATATTCTTGAAAAAATATTCTTTAAAAAATCTACGCCTTGTTGATGGCTTGAAAAAATATTCTTGAAAAAATATTCTTTAAAAAATCTACGCCTTGTTGATGGCTTGAAAAAATATTCTTGAAAAAATATTCTTTAAAAAATCTACGCCTTGTTGATGGCTTGAAAAAATATTCTTGAAAAAATATTCTTTAAAAAATCTACGCCTTGTTGATGGCTTGAAAAAATATTCTTAAAAAAATATTCTTTAAAAAATCTACGCCTTGTTGATGGCTTGACAAAATATTCTTGAAAAAATATTCTTTAAAAAATCTACGCCTTGTTGATGGGTTGACAAAATATTCTTTAAAAAATCTACGCCTTGTTGATGGCTTGACAAAATATTCTTTAAAAAATCTACGCCTTGTTGATGGCTTGACAAAATATTCTTTAAAAAATCTACGCCTTGTTGATGGCTTGACAAAATATTCTTTAAAAAATCTACGCCTTGTTGATGGCTTGACAAAATATTCTTTAAAAAATCTACGCCTTGTTGATGGCTTGACAAAATATTCTTTAAAAAATCTACGCCTTGTTGATGGCTTGACAAAATATTCTTTAAAAAATCTACGCCTTGTTGATGGCTTGACAAAATATTCTTTAAAAAATCTACGCCTTGTTGATGGCTTGACAAAATATTCTTTAAAAAATCTACGCCTTGTTGATGGCTTGACAAAATATTCTTTAAAAAATCTACGCCTTGTTGATGGCTTGACAAAATATTCTTTAAAAAATCTACGCCTTGTTGATGGCTTGACAAAATATTCTTTAAAAAATCTACGCCTTGTTGATGGCTTGAAAAAATATTCTTTCAAAAATCTACGCCTTGTTGATGGCTTGACAAAATATTCTTTAAAAAATCTACGCCTAATTGATGGCTTGAAAAAATATTCTTTAAAAAATCTACGCCTAATTGATGGCTTGAAAAAATATTGTTTAAAAAATCTACGCCTAATTGATGGCTTGAAAAAATATTCTTTAAAAAATCTACGCCTAATTGATGGCTTGAAAAAATATTCTTTAAAAAATCTACGCCTAATTGATGGCTTGAAAAAATATTCTTTAAAAAATCTACGCCTAATTGATGGCTTGAAAAAATATTCTTTAAAAAATCTACGCCTAATTGATGGCTTGAAAAAATATTCTTTATAAAATCTACGCCTTGTTGATGGCTTGAAAAAATATTCTTTAAAAAATCTACGCCTAATTGATGGCTTGAAAAAATATTCTTTAAAAAATCTACGCCTAATTGATGGCTTGAAAAAATATTCTTTAAAAAATCTACGCCTAATTGATGGCTTGAAAAAATATTCTTTATAAAATCTACGCCTTGTTGATGGCTTGAAAAAATATTCTTTAAAAAATCTACGCCTTGTTGATGGCTTGAAAAAATATTATTTAAAAAATCTACGCCTTGTTGATGGCTTGAAAAAATATTCTTTAAAAAATCTGCGCCTTGTTGATGGCTTGAAAAAATATTCTTTAAAAAATCTACGCCTAATTGATGGCTTGAAAAAATATTCTTTAAAAAATCTACGCCTTGTTGATGGCTTGAAAAAATATTCTTTAAAAAAAATCTACGCCTTGTTGATGGCTTGAAAAAATATTCTTTAAAAAATTTACGCCTTGTTGATGGCTAGAAAAAATATTCTTTAAAAAATCTACGCCTTGTTGATGGCTTGAAAAAATATTCTTTAAAAAATCTACCCCTTGTTGATGGCTTGAAAAAATATTCTTTAAAAAACCTACGCCTTGTTGATGGCTTGAAAAAATATTCTTTAAAAAATCAACGCCTTCTTTCAAGCCTTAAAAAATATTTTTTTAAAAAATTCCCGCCTTCTTTGAAGCCTTTAAACAAATCAAACACCACTGGTTAGCTCTCGTTTCAAATTTGCAGCTCCAATGCCTTCAACAGTTTCTTTAAGAAATAATAACACCCTTGATATGTCGGTTTCATCACAAAGCATATTATCTTCATTTTGCCAAATGAGAACAAAATAAGCAACATCATAATTCAAAATCGTTGCAACATTAATTCACAGAGTTGTCAAATATATTAGGATTTAAGAAAATAAATAATATTTTCATTGCACAAACTTATTCAGGCTTATCGGATTTCAGTTTTCCTATTTTGGTAAGAAATACATATTGGTCGATTTTTTAAACAAATAATATTTAAAGTTATTCAAAGAGACCTATATGAGGGATATTCACACTACTGAAAGCCCTTTGATGGAAAATGAACTACAGAATACCTATTCTATCCAAAGAAGACCTCAGAAAATATATAGAAGGGATCCCACCCACAAGGCTCTTAATTAAAAAGAATCCTGTCGAAAGTATATTATTCAATTTTATCCGACTTCTGGAGGGCGTTGGGGATGATAGGCACCAAGCAATGGTTCTAATTGGCTTTAACATGGCAAAACCCAGGCTTATCTTGGCCCATCTTCATCCAGTCTTTTAGACAATTGATCGATACGAGAAGCGAATATCTATTCGGACCATTACCTTGAGGCAGCCAAAGTTGCACACGCGCCTTAATGTAGCAACAAAGATGCGATCCAATGTAGCCGCAACCACAACAGGTAGCAGAAGCCTACTCCGCTCAACTTTCCCACTTGCTTAACGAAAGCACTCCTTGTCCCGATAATAATGGCAAATAATGACCAACTCCCTACAAACTGCAACAAAAGCAACTCGTGGGTTCCTAAGACCACCATCAGGAAACCCATGGTACGATGAGGAGTGTCGTAATGCTACT